TATGACTTTCCGTTGACCTTTCGAGACCTGTAACACGGCAGACAGGCTTCACATGCGTAGTGATCACATTCTCGCTCATTGGACCCGAGAATGAAACATCCTTTTAGTCTCATTGCATTGACAGACATCGGGAAGAAGGGAACATTTGGCAAAGACACGCTTCACAGACTACTTTGCATACGGGTGATGGAAAAGCTCAGTTAGAGAGCAGCAATGAAGACGACTCCGACGGTGATGCCCTTCTTCTCCGCCTCAAAGTCGAGCTTGACAGTATCGTTGGACACGGCTGTAGCGTTGCAACCTCGGAATGTCGGACCAGACGCGGAGCCATGGATCTCGTTGAAAGCCACAAAAGTCTTGCGTGGCTTGCGAACGAACTTGGCAGGCATGACTAGCTCCAGAGTTTGCTTGGCACTGGCCAAATTAATCTGCTTCGAGTGCGAATAGAAGAGCGCATTGGTCGTTTTGTATGATTCTTTTACCTCTGCTTCTTGCTTTTCTGCTGGCTTCTGTTCAGCAGGCTTGGCCCCTGCTGCATCATCTTTCTTTGCGCTGGTTGCATCAGTAGAAGTCGAGGCTGGCTGAGCAGCGGCAGCCTTTGACTGCTCTTTGGGTTGTACTGGCTCTTCTTTCACGCCGCCTTCATCGTGTGCCAGCCAGCCAATAGTCATGGACTCGAAGCTCGGTGGGCTCGAGACTTGTGCAGTGTGGTTGCCAGCGGAGATTTTGAAACTCGAGGCGGACTCTTCGGAGGCAGACGCGTTCAGGATATAATCGGTTGATGTCGCAGCGTAGTCGATGACCCAACAAACGATCTTTGGCTTGCTACCGGCTTTGAACGGAAGCTCGAACTTGACAGTCTTGGAGGCAATGGGGGATTGGATGTCTTCAGCCTCGAACTGGACACTTCCTGACTGGATGTGCATCGCGTCGATTTCTGGCAAGACCATCCAGCTAGCAGCTGATAATTTCGCAGCGGCTGTGCCTGTGACTTGTGCGTCATGAGCCACGGTGAAGCCGTCTACGCCAGCTCTGGCCGACAGCTTGAAGGAAGGAGGGCTTTCGGCCCCTAGTGCTAACGTCGAAGGAGCGTAGATGAATTGAGGGATGCCAGGGAGGTGACGATCAAATCTGACATGCTCGAAGGTCTTTGCATTCAGCGCAATCGGCGTCGACTCCCCGTTGACACTGCTGCTCAGGCATGGTATGGTGTTCTCTTCATCGAAGACTGTGCTCTTCGAAATGGCCTGAGTCCACACTAGTCCGAGTCGGTCAATGCCAGAAGCGCAGTTGCCTTGCGTCTCTGTGGACCGGCCCCAAAAGCCAGAGACGTATCCATCGCAGATTGGCTTTTCGAACTGCTGCATATCGTACAGACTGCTCTTTTCGCCGGTGTAAGCCCACTGGATGGATCGACCCTTATTGGTAACCAGATAAAGACCTACGACGCTTTGTACGGCCTCTCCATGGTCGGCGTCCACTTCGATGCGTGCGGAAGTGATCAACTCTCCGTAGCCGAGGCCTTTGAGCACCTTGCGCCATGGCTTTTCGGCTTTCGCGGCATCGCGTCTCTTGAGGTAGTCTTCTTCCGACTCCCCGTCTTCAACAGTTATCTCCTGTTCTTGAGGAGGCTCGCCATCTTTCGAAATAGGATAATCTTCGATATCGCCACCGATATTGACTGTCAGTCCGTCGAGGTAGGTACACGAGAGGCACTGTAGGCAATCGCCGAGGATACCAATGGACACCTCGGTAATGATGGGCTCAGGTAGGTCGTAATCGAGGGTGCAGAAGGGCTGCCCGTCCGTAATGCTGCCAACTGGTGCAGTGAGTCTAGTTGTCTCCGCGAGCTCGACGTTGTCACGCTCAAGATCGGCAACCTTGATCTCTTCGGAATTGGACAGAATGAGTTGCGTCTTGCTCTGATCAAAGAGACGAGGAGTGATGTCGGCGCTGCCGAGTGCCGCCTTGGTACCATCCTCGGTAACTTTATCGTTAATCAGCTCTCCTGAGAGAGGATTGGAACGCAATTTGCGAACTTTGTACTCGACCGCCGGAATGAGAGCGGCAAACGAAGCGGGCCCAACGAAGCTCGGGGGCCTTTCTTTAGTAGCAGTAGCCGGATCCCTGGTGATCAGATCAACCTCTTTGACGATGGCGCCCATTTGAGCGCGCATTTGAGTCTTCGCTTCTTCCAAACCTTCAAGACTCGCCACGAATGGCTGCAATTTGAGCAATTTGACTGCTTTAGAAAGTGCTGGAGCGTTCTCCTGGCTTACGGGCTCCTTGAATCTCTTGCGGCCTGCTTGTACATCCAGGATGGCAGTCCCAATGCGCTTGTACAGCGTCTTGAACTCGAGGTAGCAGTCCATGAGCGTGCCAGTGTACACGGCAGCATTCTCGTAACCTATCTTGGAGACGGTCTTGGGACGCATGGCTACGTAAGAACGTAGATTCTCATAACGAGTCAGGATCGCGTGCGTCCTTTGTGGGAATTGAGAAGCCAGGTATGGGAAGCGTTGAGCTGCAGCGAGAAGCGATTCAATAGTCCACTCCTCGTCGTACGGCTTGATGGAAGCACCGCCTGCCCAGCTGACCTGTATCGATGTCTCGGTATTCATGGCAATGTTGCGCTTGGCAAGAGCAAGATTGCCATTCGCCTCAGCGTCAATGCCCGTAGTCAGGACGACCTTGGCTTCGGCGAGAATGTCGCTCTTCTTAACGTCGTTGAGCACCTTGATGAGAACGACAGCGTTAAGCTCGCCGCCTTCAAGGAAGCCGGAGATGAAGCTGTCACCAAAACATTCCAAGTGCTCTTTGGTGCCTTCTTGAATGGAGGAAATCGGGTTGTACGCGAGAGCGTCCTTGAAATTCACGCTCGAGTTGACCACCTGCGGGCAGATTCTCAAGATAAGCGAATTGCAAGTGTTGAGTGGCGGTCACTAGGACTCACCTTGACACTCAGGTAGAATTTAATGTCAGAGTTGTGGAATTTGTCCGTGTTGATGAATGACCCACGACCAGAGAGTCCGAAACTGTCCGTTTTGACGCTCAAAGCTGCACTAACATTCATATCGTCTGCCACTTCACTTAATTTGTTGATGAATTGAGCACGATAGCTAACGATCTGACTTGTTCCTCTGCTCTTCTCAATGGACCAAGCTTTTCCGGCAGGTCCCGAGTCATCCCGCAACAAACCTCCATCTCGGTCTTTTTGGACCTCGACGAATGCTTCATCCGATTTTTTGAGCTCTACATCTGGCTTGAGGATAGAGGATGTCATCGCTTTTCCGGTCGCGGTGATGTCCTTCGCGGACTGCTTGTTGCGATCCGATTGTCTGGCTCCAGCCTCTGCCGCGCTAGCATCTTTTTGATTTTGCACATCAGCAGCCGTGAGTAGCTCGCCTGAGGGAGCAGAGACCGCGTCCTTAGTAGGAGCTGCAGCTGCGGTCTCGCCAGCTGGGAGTGTGGCCACAGTGGACTTCTCAACCGTTCGATCCGAAGCAGGCAACGGGTCACTAGATCCGAGCGATTCTTGAGCAGAAACGTCCTCCGGTACCTCGTAATTCTGAGGCTGTGGAATCTCTTCATCGGCGGCAGGCTCCGTGCTGATCTCGGTCGGTGTACCGTTTTCGACGTACTCTCTCATTTGACGCCAGACGCTCGCCTTGTGCATGCGCTGCGCAAGCATACGCATGGTCGTTCCATCATTTGAGAGGACATTCTCGGCGCGTGAGGGCTCAATGAGGACCGCATCGTCTACGCAGATCGAGTGCGTGTACGAGTTGAAGCTGCGAGCAAGTCTCCAAGTCAGCGCCAAGTCTTCACGAACCCTCACTCACTTTCCGCAGCCCATGCCAGGAATCGTCACACTCACCCTTGACCAAGGCGCATTCCATTGTTGCTGCACACACGATACCAGACTGCGTTCATCAGCGGCTGCTCGGACCTCAAGAGGTAGTAAGTATACTCACTAGGGTGCTAAAAGCATCGACATGGTGTCCAAGCTGATAGGCGCGAGAGATCCGCCGAAGTGATGGAGACAGGGACGATTGAGGGAAAGGATCGAGGAGAAGGTCTATACCGGAACGGGTCTTCCCTTAAGCCTCAAGCTCCAATGGTCGCTTGTCGAGCTCGTCTCCGAGACGAGTGGCATGTCTGCGTCCTACCAAGTTCACGCATTGAATCGCAGTCGGGCGCCCCAGTCATCGCGATCCCACTGGGGAACCAGACTTGCATACCCGCCGCACATGGTGCTGCGCGTTGAGGAGACGAGAGCATTATCCGGCTGCTCGTCACACGTCGGCCCGAAGCCACATCGCCACCACTTGTGGCTTTCAGATTCGATTGGCCGAGGTGCCTTTTTCGGAAGCAAAGCATGCTTGCAAGAAGCAGAGGTCCCGCTGAATGTTGGTAAGGCCAGGGGAACGTGCGTGGATGCACGACCGCGGGAAAGACGCGCAAGCCAGGCCTCGGTGAGAGCCCAGATGGGCAAAATCTGGCGTGAGGTCAAGTGTGGATGTAACCTGTGTGGTCTGTGGTGCCGAGCGGAGAACAAAGTGATCCAAGTGAAACAGCCAGAAAGTTGCAATTTCGGGAGCGTCGTCTTCTCCTGGCGGAGAATCAACACGTCCTGCACCCACGGCCACGCGAAGATCTGCATGCACGCACAGACCCTCTCCGCCAGGCACCGTTGTGCATGTAAGGTTCAGAGTCCGATGCTGCAAGTCGGTCCCGCGAAAGGGGCGGTGGCTTGAAGTCGAGTCTTGAGTGCCGCTGGTCGAGGCGATGAGAGGCTGGCCGTTCCAGTCGCAAGTCTCGATGACCATTGTGGAGCACGTCCCCGACCGAGGAGCTAAATGAATGTGCCTTCCAGCCCGATACGACCTCCAAGATAAGCGGTATCCTTTTCAACGTCGGCTTCACATGCGACAAAGCCCCACACCTCCCCGTGCCGGGTATGCGCCACACCTGCGAACCTTGTGTTCCCGAGCGGAGCATGCAGCAGCTGCTTCCCGAGGAACGGCGTTGGGAGGGAATGTCACCTTGGAAGCCGAAAACACCGAGCCTCGTGCTTTCGGGGCGGATGAAGCGTGCTAGCAAGGAGAGAGTGGCCGCGGCCACCGAACTGCAGAGGTAGTCATGCAACGACAACCCAGACCGGTTGGAAGGTCGGCTAATTGCGCATTGGCGGTGCCAGATGGCCTGGAGCGCAGCTGCGTCACACACAA